AGAGAGCGTAAACCATGTGTATAGTCTCAACAAAAAACCACGTCTCTCCTCCATATTTAAGGCCTTGTTTAGACTCCACATTTTTTTGTTGGTTGTTTTCTTCATTTTGTTAGAAGCTATAGTTCCAAATATAGTGTCTTTCCAACCATCTGAGGCTTGGAAAGTCTTGTGGAAGTCTCTTAATGTTATGTAAATTGTTTGCATTCGTTTATTTGGCGATCTGCATCTCTTTAGATAAATAATCTTTTACATTCCTGTATTTCCTCTGGGAAATGGGATATTGATAGTCAGAGAACTTGCTGACAGCAGTGTTCAAACAATATCAAACATAAAATCCCCTCTCTGGCTGTAAATACAATCTATGCTGAAAAGTTGCTGAACTGTAGTACAGAAGTAAGCTTGTCCCAAACAAACTATACACCACGCAAAAGGTATTAATAAAAATGCAACTTGACGTAATTGACAGTTTTTCAAAAGAGCGTGAAAACAAAGGCTAATATGTTTTGCATAATAAATCAACACTGCACTTTAAAGTGGATCCTACACTTCAAAAAACAAGGTTTGCTTATGTATTCAGAATTATTCAGGCCTTCTCCATGCAGTTAAGTAAAAAAAATTCTGAAGGTAAAAAGTTATTCAGTAAATATACCTTAACCCCAACTTCCACCCACAGTGCCTAGGCAAAGATGACATCACTTTCCCTACCACTGTTATCTTGTGAGATGACTGTCAAGCACAGTGCAGGAGCATCTTCTGGTGAAATTTGGGGTACTCAGCATACCCCAGGATCTCACCAAAAGGATGTTAATGTCATCCCCTGCATTGTGGAAGCTGAGATTAAGGTGAGTATATTTTCAAACTTTTTTCCTCACCGTTTTCTATTTTCCGTACCTGACCGATACATGGACGGGAGGAAGAGACTGCAGGAGACAGAGCATTGCACCTTAAATCTAGCTTTCTGACTCCTATGCAAAAAATAAATACATGCAATTTTTTTTCTTTTATGAAGAAGTGAACATTTGTTACTTTTTTTTTTTAAAGGTGGAATTTCCCTTTAAAAGGTGATAAATATATATATACTTTTGTAAATTATCTTATAGGTTCCTTAGCCTACAACATGAGATTGATAATACATGTTTTAGCACTGGGGTCAATTATATAGTAGTAGATTATTTTTACTTGGTTGTCTAGTGTTTCAGAAACATTACAATGAACTCACAACCAAGTGGCCAATAATTGGTGGAACAATGGTGAATCCTGCTGTAAATTATAATACTGGCTCATCCCCCAAATGACATCAAAGACTTGCAATTCTTGGATTAAAATAAATGTGACAGAGATCTAGGGTAACATTAGCATGATATATATCAGTCTGTCAGCTGCAAAAATCTAATTAGCTACAGTGTATTCATTTTACTGGTAGTTTAACAAAAATGTATAATGTATTGCTTTGCTGCTTTTACTTACATCTAAACTGACTCAGACTGCATTTGTTGAAACAATACAATGCTAATTATGATGAACAGTTGAGTTGTACATTGTTCTCTGTTATGTGTCATAAAAAGTTCATACATAAATGTAAACACCAAAAGGCATAGATTTTTAGAAACCGGTCTTTATTTAGATATGGATTCTAGGGTGCCCACAAATGTATGATGATCTACAACCATAGGTGTGCTCACAGGGTGTGACACGTGTGCCTGGGCACACCCTAATCACCCCGAACACAACACTGAAACTGCAACAGAGGTGGGGAGAGATCACTGAGCTGGTGGAGAGATCACAAAGATCTCTCTGCGATACAGAGCACAGCAGCACTTGCCACTTACATCCCTCACATAACAGCCACAGTCCTTGGTGCCCGGGAAGCGAGCATGGCTGAGACTTCCCATCCAATGAGGAAGCCAGGAGGGTGGTCACATCACATGACCACTTGCCAGTATCCTTGCTTCATTACGGCACCATTGCTAGAAGAGGCAAGGGACAGATGGGAAACCGGGATGCCTCAGGTTTGTGTATATACAGTATATGTATTACTCTTTTTGATCGATTACATTTATTTTGATGGATTAACATTTTTTTGAAACTTTCTGCACAAGCGCCAGCCAAGGCATTGGCCTATACACATACAGCACAGCAATGAAGTAATAAAATGAACTAGGATCACACTAACCCAGCACGTTATTATTCTCAGTTGCCACTCAAGCGGAGGCCACATTGAGTGGGGCACGTGAGATTATTAACGTGCTGGATTAGTGTGATCCTAGTTCATTTTATTACTTCATGCCCTTCAGCCCCCAAATATGATGTTGTTTTTGAAAAAAAGGTTAACATATGATGTATTAGGTGAGGACACATACAGAATTTCTTGTTATAGTAATTAATTTATTTTCATTCAATTTGAAGGCGATTGAAAAATAGCAAAGCAGCCACAGATGGGCACCGCTATCTCTTCCGAGGGCGGATTAACACAGAAGTGATGGAGGTTGAGAACGTTGATGATGGAACAGGTGTGTACACAAGTAATATCAACAAACTGATGGTCATTTCTGAGAAATCAAATGCTTCCCATTGAGTGAGTAAATGTGACAAATGTTATCCTATCAATCAGAGCAGCTCAGTGTCAAAGATGGTCCAGAAATTCTGTTTAAAGGGCATAGTCATAGTAAGTCTAGAGTTCAAATATAAAAATATACCAGCCAGTTATGTGTTCTATCATTTTACTCTTTAAAACTACTGAAAGGGTTGAAAGGAAACATTTATTTGGTGTATTACAGATAAGATACCGTATATATTTTTTACTAATACATTTTTTGTTTGTAACGTGTAATTTGCTAAAATTACATTGTCTGTAATGGAAAAATGTGATTACCAGCATGTAAGTTTATTTGATATTATTGATATGTTGTGCCCACTTATTTTACAGAACACACCTTTGAAGGCCTAAAAAGTCACTTACATTCTAATTCAGTAGAATATATTTGGTTTAAATTCAGTTGGCCAGTATGTTTTGGGAATTCAAAACCCTTTTTTTTTTTTTTAAAGAGATGGTACTAAGTCTAGTTTTGTAGAAAGGCCACATAGGTCTAGCCCATTGGCAGCAATTTATCCAGGAGGCGGTGGATGGCCTGGCTAGCAGAGAACCCAACATTCTTATGTACATCAAGAACTTCAAGAATGAAGGAACTCGTATTTTAAGGCATACAAACTGCACTTATTTAACTATATAAGTTCCATAAAGCTGTGCATAGTTCTCTTGGCTTACATTGAAATCCTGAACTGGGCACAACCTAAAAATATACCTATAAATATGCAACTTGTCATCATCATCTAGTCAGATATTAATATTTGTGAATATTGGTGTGAATACCTTATGCTTGCATGTTGATGACATTTGTAACATGCATCAGAATGCCGATTGGCTCTAAAAAGTCAAACATGGAGCTTAGTGTAACGGCTCTTGAGATTTCTCATGTTATGTTATACAGTTACTCTACATTCCATGTGAGGTTTTACTCAAGCTTTAATCTTATTGACAAACACATTTTTTTTAACTTACCACTAAGTATATTGATCTGTTATTTTTTAGAAATATGACCTCAGTGTCGATGTATTATCTTTTAATTGCTTAGGGAAGAAGCACCTGCAGTACAAATGATTGCTTTTAAATGAGAAGATGAATTGTATTACGGTACTCACAAAAAAAAATATTTTGACAGCTATGACAACAAATTGCCCTGCTTCCTGACTTGAGGTACCTTAACCCTCATCATAATTTAATTTCTCATTATAAAAGTTGTGCCAGTCCAGACAACAAATGATTTACTTTAATACATAATTTTAATTTACTTCCCAGGAATAAGGCACTAGTACAGTCATTAACTTCCAATATTTCATAAACCAAATTAGTGCAATTATTATTCAGTCATTATTGATGTCTTTCATCTATATTTTTACAATGTACGTCATATGGAGCTAGCCTTAAAAATGACAAAGTTCATAGTACTAAACCGTGTTAAAGCTAATGTGCAAGAGCACCCTTTAAATCAGCCTTTTTTCAACCAAGGTTCTGTGGAATCTTAAGGTATCTCCTGATGTCACTAGTGGTTCCTTGAGCAGTGAGCACTTTCTGCCTCCCAAATAAATAACTACTGACAACAATAATCTTTTCAACTATCTGTAAGGGGAACATTTATCTAATTATTCACCAATGTAAAGGGTATTCTTCTCACTGAGCAGCTGTGGAATGGGGCCCTTCTTCACCAACCACCAATCTAAGGGGTCCTTCTACACTGACCACTAATATAATTGAGAACCTCATTGACAACCAATGTAAGGGGCACTGCACTGACCTCCAGTGTAACCGGGACTTTACTGACCATCAATGTAAGGGAACACAACAATTTTCATGGCCCAAGTATCTTTTCTGACCATTATTATTATTATTTGTTTTTATTTGTTATTATTACTGAAAACACTTATGTTGTAAAGAGCAGCCCTGGATGCCAAATACACTAAGTATGCCACATTCTTAATTTTTTTTTTTAAACTTACAACTTACCGTTCACACTAATGTTCTGTGAGCTTTATATATAATCATTATAAGGGTTCGCTGAGGCCTGAAAGTTATTTTAAGAGTCTCTTCATTTTTAAAAGGTAGAGAAAGGCTGCCTCTAAATTAGAATGACTCCCTTTTCAAGCACAAATCCCTCTATGGGCAATTCCACAGATTTACATATGTAAAAGCATATCTAAAACTGGGCTGGTCAGCTCACCTGACCAAGGCTGCTCCCAATTAATAAAAATCAAGTTGCAACAAAAAAACTCTTACATCTCTGACAAATTTTCATGTGGTATTGCGTTGGTACTGGATGCTGCCAATTTAATATGTTTCACCAGTTCATTAAAAAGTTTGGTAATTGTTTTAGTATGGCCTGTTCTGAAGTCCCCAGAGCCTCTACTCTGCAAGAATTGCCAGCAATGAGCTGCTGCTTTGCTACTTTCATTAGGAGAGTCAAGAGCTTCTTCATATGAATCTCCTGACTCTAAACAGTCCGCTGATATTAACTTTACTGCTGACATTGATTGTTTAGTTGCCTGGTGGAAGCTCTCTAGGAACACAGTCAGTGTTGGACTGGCAGTAAAAATCCAAGCAATATAATTTCTACTTATCAACTATATACCAAAGATTGTTAGCCTATGTGTATTTACAGTTCTACAAATATTTGTTGTGTTATTAAAACAAATTCGGTGAGGTTATACATGCTCTACATCAGCCTTTCTTCCCATTTGTACCCCTGAGCAACCCTTGAAAAAATTTTCAGGTCTTGGGTAATCCCTGATAACAAAGAATTTACCTGTAGCTCTTGGTAAATTAACATAATCAATAGGCTGAAGAAAATTTTAAATAAAGGCTAGCTCATGTGGGGTGCCTTGGGTATTTGACACCAAGGGCAGGCAGGTTTCTTACTAACCCCCTATAAAGTTATTTTAATTAATCTTAAAATGTATAACAACTGTGAAAAAGAAAGGCAGACAGTAAAAACTGTGGTGTCCTCTAACATTAGTGGTGAGTGTAGACGCTACACCTTGGTTAGAAAATAGCCCCCTTCATTGATGCTCAGTGTAAGTGGGAGTTCAGTCAACCATTGCATACTGCTCAAGAAACCTCTAACAACCTCAGAGGAACTCTAGGGTTCCATGGAATGCTGGTTGAGAAACGCTCAACAGTCTTTTGTGGCCGATTACATAATTGCCAGATTACCAGTGTAGGCATAAATGCAGGCCTAACATGCCAATGCATAGTATTATGATTTATTTTCAGTATTCTAAAGAGAATGTCAAACTGTTAATCATCATGCTGATTTCTATCAGTTGACATTGTCAAATATAAAAAATGTCTGTATACATTATAGTGTTTCATAACAGCCAGAGTCATTGTAGCTGTGATGGCAGACATTGTGCCTTTTGGTTCTGGAATGTGGTTACACAATAGAGCAGACAATTGTGCATTTTCTCCCTGGAAACATACAAACAAACACATCTGCCTGGAAACAGGCAAGCAGCATAAAAATTGAATATTTAGTCATCCGCTTCCTGATGGACTCAATAATAAATTGTAGGGAAGGGGAAGCTGACATTTCCCAGCTTGTGTGTACAATACTTGTCTAGATTCTTACTTGTCTACACAGTCTGCACAGTCACAAATAAGATGAAGGCATTGAGGTATATTTCTTTATAAAAAAGGCCGGTGAATCCAAGCTCGCACATTCAGTGGCAGCACTTTTAACGTTATGAATACATGCAACTTGGCAGATGTTTGTAGTACGACAGCTGTTTTGTAGTAAATGTAATACCTGCACTCTCCGTAGTGCTGTACCTGGATTTTTTACACCAGGCAAGCATTTGGAGTGTTCATTGGGTTAATATTTATCCTTTTATAAATTAATTAAAAACAAGTGTCCCTTTCCTCTTCCTTCCTTGGTTTATAGTACCATCTCAGAACATCAGGCATACTATTCTATTGGCAAGAGGGCAGTGAACACCCCCTACTATGCAATCTTCTAGCATGTTGATACCAGCTTGCATGCTCTTTAGCATCATTGGGCGGGGGAAGGGGGGTGTTAATCTATTTATGCTTTTTTTGTGTAATTGGCTGTGGAAGGGCTGGCATAGAATAAACTCATTGATGCTTGTTATGGCAGTCTTTGTTCGTGGTGTGAAGTGGGCTGCTGAATTACCAACAGACACTATTCTCCTATATGGTGAATACAAAATGTGTAAATTATGTTCTATGCATAGTATAGGTTAACACTCGAAAGCACTTTGGTGTACAAAGTGAAACACCACCAAGCACAATTAGTCTGCCAAGACAACCACCTTCTACCCGACAGGTAAATGGTTGTCATTCTGCCTGTCTCAGTAAAGTGCTGTGACTCATTTTAGCTATACTATTACATTAAATAAAAATAAAATAATATTATATGACACGATGATAATAACCCTTGGCAATCAGCTACATTTTTGTTATTTTCTTTGTAAACCTATTGTATAATACCAGGGACTTCAATAGAAATAAGTACCTTATGGCTGAATAATAATACTTTTACTGATAATGTATCTCTTTTTTTAATTCATTATAATATCTTCTCTTTTTAATGCAAATTTGTGAAGTCCAGCTGAATAGGCTGTAAATTATTGGCTGCTTTTTGTGATCTTCGCATTTTCCCTCAGAAGACTAGCCTATTAGCTAATTAGAATGTCTTCTAAATAAAATTAATGATCTCTACAAGAAATGTTCATTTCCCAGTTCTCAGGCCCTTACCATGAACTGTTTTAATTAGCATCATTTTCACAATGACTTTTTCCTCTCTAACCATCTAACCACAAATTATTCTGATTAAGGGTTAACTCTGTCCATACATCTGAACTTTTATTATCGCCATATATGCATAGTTCATGTAGTTAATAATAATAAAACAACAACCATATTAGTTTTTCGGCATCGAGTACAAGTACAACATTTTTTTTCCCGCTACTAGGCGATACTGAGTACCGATACTGACATCCCAGACTATCGTTGGCTTGGCTTCACTTGCTGCTAGGCAGCCTGGATTTCTGACCATTTAGGAAGTTGTGCGGCGGGTCATGTTGTGCCACCCAACTTCCTCATTGGTCAGGACGTCAGACTGCCTAGCAATAGGTGAAGATGCTAGCAACTAGTGAAGCAAGCTTCCCAGGCAATTAGGAAGCCGGGCGGCGGCTCCAAGCTCAATCCTGTGATGATCATTTACAAATAACTTCTGCGCTAGATGCTCAACAATAATCTATTTTCCCTATTCCACGCTAGCTGCTAGCATTAGCAAGTTATATAAACATATATCAAACAAATGTTTAAAAATTTGCGACACTATGGATCTTAAAAAAATGTGGATCTTAAATAAAAAAAAACTCAAAAAATGGTGCTATATAGTGCTACAATGTGCTAAAATCATGAAATCATATTCATATATAAACAATTCCTCTAATCAAGTGCATCAATCAAAATCTTGTGCATGTGTCTGTAAATTATTTCCATAAACACCCTATAGCAGGGCTCAAAATTTCCACTCGCCCCCTCGCAATTGGCGAGTGAAAATTGCGTGGGGGCGAGTGGAAATCCAGGGGGGGCGGGACTTCTGCCGCTTCTGCAGCGCCGATCGCTGTCTGTTTTCTCCACCCGCTTCTTGGAGCGGCACCGCAGCCTCCGACGGCCGGGCCGTAGTATAGTCCGTGCTCAACTATAATGAATCAAAATGTCATTTTTCAGATCCTAATAACAGTTTTTCTCTTGTGGATAAATGTGCTCCAGTTCAATCACTGTCAAATTCAGTGGCACCTTTTCTGCACTTGTGCTCTAGTGAACCAATGTGCTCCAACTGATTCATTTTCTATCTTCAGTAACACCTTTTCCACACTTGCTTACCGTCTACCAAGGACCTTCTCTTAAAAATAAGAACAGGTCACAAGCGCTTGTGAATACAAACCTCTTCTTAAATCTTGTCTCCTTCTCTTCTCCCCCATAGCATGCTGATCCATGATGAAGTACTGTTCCTCTTCCTAATCGTTCATGCCAAGACTGCATTATGCCTGATGGATTGCTCCGAAAACAAAAGCATATACCACAGAGCAACCTGTATATCTTTAAAATGTATAAAACCAATACATGTGTAAAAATGATATCCACATTTTATTATACAGTAATTACATTATATAAAAGAATCAATTAGGAACTTTGTGTGTGTTTTAGCCAATTGGTTTTTTTTTATACTCGTATGTATTACAATTGATTCTTTTATATAATGTAATTACTGTATAATAAAATTTGGATATCATTTTTACACATGTATTGGTTTTATACCTCTCAGAAACCCCTATGTCTCTGTTTTTTTCTATGTTTACATTTAGAGGGGGAGAGGTCCAATTGGGGAGCTACTGTCGAGGCAGACTCAAAAGTTGATTATTATCTTTAAAATGTATTATTGAAAACATAAGATCCACTCACGATTAAAATAGGGCTGTGCAAATTAACGATTAATTTCTCGATTAATCGTTAATCTTTTTGATCGATTAAATTTTTTTTGATTGCTAATGAAATAAAAATTTTTACATTACACAAAAAAGAATAAAAAAAACTAAAAATGTTTTTAAAGTCCCCACCCATACATACACACATGCAAACATGCGTTGGGGGCGCATACGTTCAAAAAAGACGATTGCGCCCATCACGCTGCACATGTTACATATCACCGCAAACGATTAAATAATTCTAGGGCCATCAATCACTGATAACATTAAACTGATGAGCGGTAAAAGCTTTTAAAGTGTCGCCTATGGCCAATTTTGGGTATGGTAGTTTTCAGCGATTTCGCGGGTGCGCGCAATTTTAAAGCTTGACATGTTTGGTCTCTATTTACCCGACGTGACCCGATCTTTTATATTTTACCAAAAAACTGGGTAATACAAAATGTTTCCTAACATAATGTAAAAAAAACTTTTTTTTTTCAAAATGTTCAGTAATTTTTCCTAATTATAGTAAAAAATAAAACCCATAGTGGTAATTAAATACCACCAAAAGAAAGCTCTATGTGTCCCCAAAAAATGGTATAAAATTCATTTCAGTACAGTGCTGCATGACGGAATAAACATCAGTCAAAGTACCGCAGCGCTGAATACTGAAAAATGGCCTGGCCAGGAAGGGGGTCTAAACACCTGGTTTTCAAGCAGCTAAATATACTAAAATGTTCAAGGTGTACAACACAGGCAGTGGGTTTTTCTATGAGAACATAATGTTTTTCACCCTGCCAGCCTCTTCATGTAATCAATCAGCAGGCTGTTAGAAACCGACTCTAGAATCTTTGGTATGATCTTTGAGGATCTTAGAGAATTATTACACAATAAAGCAACTAGAGAAGTCAGGAGTGGCTTGTTTTAAAGTTATTTTTCTGTGGAGGATCAGCATTGTAAACTTGCCTGCTCTTTTGATTTGGTCTAAAAAAACCTCTCTTCTCCAAAACTTAGAGATAAGTTGTTCTGTAGTTCACAGAAGATAGCTGGTAAGGAAGATAATATTACTTGATATATAATTTCTGTCCACAGAAAGGTATAAGAGAACCCTAGCTTATTGAAAGGATTGATAGGTGTGAACTTGCAGAAAACTAACGCAGCCACTACAGCTAAGGATTGGTAAGGTGCAATGTATTACAGTTTTGTTCTTGGATTTAGATATCCTTTAAATTTGATTGGCACGGTGTAAAAATACATGCAGTTCTTATTTGATAATTGAGACACATCTCTCCTATCTGTAGTTTTTATCTCGAAGATGCCTAAGAACAAAAGTTTAATTGAATTTTTTAAATGAGATTAAAATGTTTTTTTTTTTTCTCTTGCAGCGGACTTTCACAGCAGCGGTAATCCTGTTACGCACGGCTGGAAGATACACAACACTGCCAAGAACAAGTGGTTTGTGTGCATGGCGAAGACGACTGAGGAGAAGCAGGAGTGGCTGGAAGCCATTTTGAAAGAGAGGGAGAAGAGAAAGTGTGAGCTTGCATTTAGTTTACATTCAACTTACTTAATAAAGATGTGTATATCCTGTTAAAATTTTTGGAATGTTTAAACAATTTTCCAAAAGTTAAAGGGGGTGATGCCACTATCAATTTTGACTGTAGTGCTGAAAAAAATCAAAAGAGCAAGATTTTTTTGTTGAATGGACAAAATTCAATTAAAATTTTTAACAATACTCACATCCTATTCTGCAGACCTAAATGGGATCAAAGTAGGGGGATACCACAACAAATTATGTCTATTTGTGGACAATGTTTTGTTATGCCTCTCTAACCTGCTGGTCTCTCTCCCTAATCCTATGCGTACCCTTTTGGATTTTGAACAGGTCTCTTGTCGTCAGGTCAATCAGGCAAAATCTACCAGTGTATGGTCAACTTAACCATAAAATTCTGTTTTTGGCTTCTCTTGTAGATGATTGGATATCTAAAGTAAACACAGCTTTACCTTATTCAGCTAACTTACTTTTAGTTTACTAAGTAAACATTCTTTAGCCCACCATTTTAAAAACGGTTTTCCATACTTTTGTAGAGTTTAAAAAAAAATGCTTTAGACAAAAGTTCTACTTTTTCCTAAACATACTTTTCAAAATATGACTCAAATGAAAAAATAAATGGTCAAATTAGAATGGAATGAAAGTGATTATGAACATTTATCATGAGGTATTGCTGTAAATCAGAGTAATTAGCCTACAAGTTTAAGAAATTGAGGTTAACGTCAAGATGGTATTTTTTGGCACCTTGCCTCGTTTTTAGGTGTCTTAATTTTTTATTAAGACAGTATGGTCTCAGAATTAATACTTAGAATTCGCTCTTTATGCCCTGATGAAGAGACCCTGCGTGGAACAATCTTGTGATTGTGTGACGTCTATGTCCAATAAATGGACATGTTGGATTATTCTACTGAGTGCTGGTGATTCCTCTTCCTACATTGTGTCTGCACGATGCCATCCGTGTTCATCACTACAAACACTAGGGATGCACAGATACTTTTCGAGTACCAGTGCCGATACTTGGCATTTTCATGAGAACTACCAGGGTTGCAGCGGTTGCAGCTGGGACAGGGCTCTGGTGCTCCATCACTGTCCTGAAATCATTAGTTTTAGAATTGTTTTAGAAAAGCTGTCACATGACAATAAACAAAAATGTATCAGTACTGGTACTTGTAAGTACTCGGCAAGTACCAGTACTCGTACTCGCAAAACTGGTATCTGTGCATCCCTTTATTTATATTTATAAAAATAAAATTGTACATTAAAACAGAGATGTAGAAATCCCAGGAGCTCCGTGTGCTCTTTACAAATGACATCTGCCTCCTAATTTTTTAATTTTTCTCTAGTCTAGTCTTGGAGCTCAAAAGTATCGGTACATGTACACGTACTTGTACCGAGTACTGTACTTGGTATCTGTGCAACCCTAACAAACACCATTGTCTACATAGGCCGTGATTGCTGCAAGGTGTGCAGAGGATTTCCCCTTTTATCCAATTAGCAGAATTAACTGACAGCTATAAAGTGCAACTTTAAATATCTTCTCATAGCAGATTGGAAATAGGGATGCACCAATACCCTTATTTCGGTATCGAGTACGAGTACCGATACTTTTTTTTCAGTATTCACCGATACTGATAACAGAAGTCCCATGAAGGAAGCCAGGTGGCGTGATGATGACTTGCCATCTGGCTTCCTGATTAGACGGGCAGCTGGGTGGTGTGTAAAGACTCGCCACCCGGCTTCCCGATTAGCAGGGAAGCCGTCCCCATGCTTCTCGTCCCGCTGTGACGAGTAAGCATGGAGCCGGCCTTCTGGCCAATCAGGAAGCCGGGCACCGTGTAATGACTGGTTTCCTGATTGGCTGGGAAGCCAGCTCCATGCTCCCTCGTCATGAGGTGACAAGGAAGCATGAAGCCAATCAGAAAGCCGTTCAGTGAGTCATTACATGCTGGCCGGCTTTCTGATACAGGAAGTATCGGGCTAGGCATCGGAGCATTTGAGCGAGTACGAGTACTCGCCCAAATACTTGGAATTGGCACCGATACTAGTTTCTGTATCAATGCATCCATTCTAAACACTCTGAACATAAAGCCATGATCATTTTTTTTCTCAGTTTCTGAAGTTGGAAGGCCATTTAGACAAGGCAAACCAGACGGCCAAAATAAATTGTTGTATGTGCCAATTCTGCTTAAAAGAGAACCAGTACTGGTTGGGTTTATGAAAAAATAGGAATAGTCTGTCTTCAATGTTCTTAAAGTGTATCTTAACCCAAACCAAAAATAATATATTGCAGCTTACCAATACTTAGATGAGGTGACTGCTTTCGTTTTCTTATTTTTTAAGTTTTTTCTTTGTATTCACCTAGTAATGCTGAGAATAACACATCTTTCTGCCCCTTCATGTCTACACTCACTTTTCCATGGTATCTATATAGGAGTTATAGTTGTCACATGGGTGCAACTATTACATGGTGAATTGATTGGACTAGTGGTTTACAAAAGAGCGGTAACATTGTTTGTGCGGTCTTTACAGCTGACAAGAAGTGGCGATTCTGGCCACACTGCATTTATGGCAAGGTCAACAAGTATTTTCTGTACTTGCTGAAAATGTTTTTAGCCTGAAAAAAACAGCCACCACATCCAAGGGCTGATGAGCTGCAATCTATTTTTGTTGATGTTTTTTTGTTGTAGCGCGTTAGGGACGGGCGGAAATACGCCAAGGTGGGAACGAGACCATTGAATACAATGGGATTTATATTTTTGAATATATATATATTGAATATATTTATATTATAAATCCCATTGTATTCAATGGTCCCTAACGCGCTACAAAACGGCCCACGCCTGAAAAGGTACAGGTACTACTTTGGGCCGTTTTGTTGCGCGTTTCCATTGGGATACAGCCAAGAAGCCTTCGGAAACGCGCGACGGTCGCGCAACTTTTTTACCACGAATCGCGTTAAAAAAACCCGCGACAGACGCGCATATGCAATACGCCTACGTGTGAACGAGACCTAAACAGAGAAGCTGATGGTAGTGATGGTCACTGACTGACCTCACACGTTCTCCTAGCAATTGAGTGTTGACTTACCATGTAAAGCTCTGTATGTAAAGGGCATGTAAACAACCATATGCCTGTATTGACACTAGTATTCACGCTCAAGAGCTGAGATAGCATGTGTTGTCAGCATGATGTCAGGCAGTTGACAGGACAGCAGTTAAAATAATTTAAGGGGCCTCTCATCTCTGAGTCCTAGTTCTTGTATTACCCTTCGTCCAGGGCCATCATCAATAGTCAAGACGAGAGATAACAAGGGAGTGGATTTCATTGGTGAGGAAGGGGCGTATTTTGGAGATGTTACAAAGGTGAAGGCGGCAGGATTTGGATAGTGATTGGATGTGGGGAAGAAAGGTGAGGTCTGAGTCAAGGATGACACCTAGGACCTTGGCATGGCGGGAAGGTTGGATAGATGTGTTATCAATCTCAAGGGAAAAGTTGGGGGAAGGTGCACAGGCAGGAGGAAATATTATGAGCTCAGTTTTTGAAAGGTTGAGTTTTAAGAAGTGTTGCGACATCCAGACTGATATGTCAGTTGGTAGATTAGTGACAAGCAAGGTCACATGACTACTGGTCCACAAAGCATGAAAGGAACAGTTGATTTAGCATGTTAAAGTAGTAGTAAACCCAATCACTAAAATCTTATCTAAGCTTTAGCATTTTAAAATCATTTGAAAAGTTGGTTTCAATCTGCTAAAATCTGTAGCTTTAATTAAAATAATATCTAATGATCATGCCATTATTGACCTTGTTTATTACAATGTTATGATGTGTATCTAGGCTTAGTTTTTAATTTTGTATGTATACTGGGCCATCCATATTTGCTAATTTCACATAGAGACTCTGCTTCCTGGTTGTGCAATGATGATTCTTTTTTCTCGCTGCAGGGTCTAACTGAAAGCAAAAGTTAGTCGGAGACCATGTGATCTGTCTAGGCCAGCCTTTCTTAACCTTTTTACCGCAAATAGATAGATATAGTTATAAAAGCTATGCTCTGTATAATTATGAAATTAAAATGAATGAATCAAATAATAATGACCAGAAAAAGTAAAAGCAGACAAAGACAATTGTAATGCCCCATTTTATTGGAAGTCAGTGAAGAAGGCCCTCCATTATATTTGTGGTCAGTGGAGAAGGGCCCTTCATTACATTGGTGGCGAGCAGAGAAGGGCCCGCATTTATAGTCAGTGGATCACTTTTTTGTGATCCAAACAACTGGTGGACATTTGGAAAAAGGATGTCCTTCACATCAGTAGGTATATTAATTGTTAGCCCACTGACCCCTAGCAGAAACCGTGGTTGAGAAAGACTGATCTAGGTTTTAGCTCACATGATGGAGATCTTTTTAAAAATCAAAACAGTTGGGATTTGGTAATGCTTATATGTGATATAACAAGATAAGCAGCGCTAGTAGTTCAATCAGCTGTATATCATACAGGTGGCAGTCAGTGGTGTATTTTGGTTTTGTGCTGCCCTAGGCAAGACTAAACTCGGGCACCCCCATCAATCTAAATTTGCCCCACCCCTTCCTGTTTAGGACATTTTGCGCAACCTGTCAGTTACTGGATACAGCACACATGGGGTCTCAGGACAGCTGTGCATGGTCTCTGGTGGGCTGTACAGGGTTTCAGGGGTGCTGTGCAGAGTTTATGGTGGGCTGTGTGCGGTCTATGGTGGGCTGTGCGGGGTCCCTTTCCCTGATACATGTGCGGTTCCTCTTACCTGCAGCTCAAAGTGTCATTAGTACCAACAGGCTACATTGCAGTCTCCCAGCCTGCTTCTGGGACATCCCGCCATCAGATCACATGCTATGGCCAGCCCTGAGCCACCTGCTGCTTCTTCTCCACCTCCTGTACAAAGCCAGCTGGACCGCATCTCACTGGGCCCTCCCCTCCACTGCGAAGCTCTCTAATTAGTCAGCCGCTCTTAGGGCCTTTGCGGGCGTCTGGTTTGCCGCATTAGGCAGCCACTGCTGCCTGATTCTGTGCCGCCCAGCCTCGACCCACCGGGCAAGTGCCAAGTATGCCCAAAGTTAAGTCCGGCTGTTTGCAGAAACTGCTGCCCCCCTGGAAAGTGCCACCCTAGGCAAATGCCTAGTTTGCCTTGGGGTAGATACACCCCTGGTGGCAGTGAATTAAACCAAAATAGTGTTTCCTTAACACATTACTTACTGCAAAGTCAATGTGATGAATTTTTAGTGTATCGTGTCAACACATCAATATAAATAAATAAATATTGTGATGTAAAATACAAGCTGCTGTATTGAAGACCGCTGGGTCTGAAGAGTTTTAAACCAAATTAACAGCGCTAGTAAGTGAATCAAAAAACCATATAATCGTGTTTGTGAACTACAAATCACAAAAAAATAAAATAAAATCACATCAATGCAAGTGCCGTTAATCAATAAAAAAAAAACACGGCACTGTAATAGTTAAAAAAAACCTGTCTACGATTAGGAGGTGATTTTTAACCAAGTGCTTCTAGGTGTCTCAGTGTGTAAAGATAAAGTGGATCAGTCTATAAACATTAAAAAATCCTTCTCTTTTTTTACACCTTCATGTGCATTAATACCATTAAGTGACAAATCATATGCGTGAAAAAATTCAGGTGGGTAAACGAAAATAATTGTGAATGACAATTAATTGTGCTAAACAAAAAATAAAGTCTCTTAATATACAGCTCCGCTTCAAAGCCAAAAAGCAGAGCCTTCCAATGTTCGGTAGAGTAGTGCTTTCCTGGGGTTTGTATTAAGATCAATACATCCCCCTAATAGAGTGCGTACTCACCCCAAACTTTTGGCTGTAACAGACAGCACCAAACGCTTTGTCTGATGGGACACCGTTACTGCGGCGTCTTTCGTATCTCGTTCTTTACCATCAGTCCTCAGTGTAAAGTATTCCCACAGTCATGCAAAGAAAAATCTTTCATCGGGTAATAGTTCCAAAAAGTAGTTTTTTTAAAATGTCTTTTAAAATTCAAAATCACATTCGGCCGGTCCGAAAACAAACGTGTTTGGTATGGTAGACCTGCCCCTACATGTTTCGTCACCACCGATGTCCTCAGGGGAACCTGCAATTCCCCTGAGGACGTCGGTAGTGACGAAACATGTAGGGGCAGGTTTAAAATTAATTTGGTTTAAAATGCTTATATGTGGCCTACTATTTTATATAACACAAACACAACTGTTATGCGAGATTCACAAGGCTTTAGCTAACTACATGTCGTCCAGTTAGGGTTTGGATCTACTTTATGAGGCCTGTAGCAATCCTTTTTGTCCCTTCCGTGATAAAAATCACGCTTTCAGCTCAGCTTTCTTTTTTCCTCACCCTACTCCATTGACTAAACCAGAATGTTTAGGCAAGACAATCAGACCAACCCTGGGAGTGTGCCGCCCTATTCTGGTGCATGCATGTCTGACTGCCCTCTTTAGTCTGTAGGTACCCTTATTGGGTATGATTCTGCTGTGTTCCTGTAAATTCTATTTTAGGCTGTTTTTAATGTGTTTCATTCAGTACAGGATGCACTGTGACTCACTGCTAAAAAAGCCACTTGTAAATAGAATAACAGCTGTAAACAGTCTCCCGAAATTAGACATGTTTCATGCAACAGCAGACTATTTTACCTAGCACATTCTGCATTGTTAATCCTTAATCATGTGTTCAATGGCCTATAAACAATGTTCATAACAACTCCTAGGAACAATGGAGGTGATATTCCATTAACTTTTATGCAGAACTGGACACAGACCTGGTGCTAAGACACTTTGGTTTAACAATGTTAAAACCAAACATGTTATAATGTTGGAGATATGTTAGGATGCACTTTGTCCATTTGAACAAAAAAAACAGGAGCAGACAGAATTTGGTGCAGTTGCCCATAGTAACCAATCAACTTCAATCTTCAATTTGCTCAGTTAAGCTTTGAAAATGAAAAACAGAAGCTGATTGGTTACTATGCACAGCTGCTCCAGATTTTGTCTGCTCCAGTTTTGATAAAATAAAAATGGTGCTGCTCAGTTTTATCCATTTGTTTTGTACAAATACAGAATTTTAAATATATGTTTTAATAGTTGTTCTGAAGCTGTAGGTAAATGTTTTATACCAGCTTTAATCTGGTTACTGTAGAGCTGAAATCTGGTTACTTTGGGTGATAAAAATACTGCTATGCTTAGTGTTTGAGCTAAAATAAACTTTTTTAATTAACACCATAAAGTCCTTAAATAGTATCAGGAAGCAGATGGTATTTTTGATATTATGTTGCATAATTATGTTTCTCCATATGAAACAATATTAGTAGTTAGCACAAGTTCCTTTATTTATCCTTTAATTATTGTGTAGCATTCTGCAATCATATACTGTATGTAGAGTAAAGCCAGTTTGAACAGGTGGTGTCACAGGAGAAGACCATCTTTAACTGTAATGAAGAGGAAGTTACCTCTGCATTATAAAAATAGAAGCGAGCAGTTTGCAAAGAAAGGAAAGTGCAAAAAAAGAGAGGAGCAGGTTAGCAACAAGCATGCAACTTGTGCAATCTGCTACGATGAAATAGCCGACAATCATACCTGGGATCTTTTGAAAATTGCAATTCTTGAGAATGTGGATGGGGCAGTGGGTGAGAGGTAAACTGAATGGTGGGTGTGGCCAAAGTATGTTTAGGAGCGGGAGGAGCTTCATACCCCAATTCACACTGAGCTACATCCAAAAAAGAGCTACAGTGCACATTTTGTCGCGCTACGTAGCGCGACTTTTCGCAGGGACATCGTAGCTGCTACATTGGGCTGCAACCAATCAAAAGCGATCTTGATGTGACATCATTCCTTCCTTCTTATATCTCTGTGCAAAAGTGACACTTCTGTAGCGCGACGTAATACAACAATGTCGCGCGACATTGACCTACACCTTTAAGAAAAACACCCATGCACACACTAGGGTAGATATTTTCAATTTTATACTGCAATTTTACAGCAATGTTTTTGCAGCACTAGAGCAGACTTGCCACCCACCCATGCACACACCAGGGCAGACATTTGTAAAGGGAAACACATTTTCACAGCAGGGTTTTGCAGCATTAGAGCAGACTTGCCGTCCATCCACATACACACTAGGAAAGACACTAGGAAAGACAATTTCAAAAGGATACTAATTTTCAGTGTTGCTGTGCAAAACCTTGCTGTAAAATGTAAATGTCACTTGTAAATGAGCATGGGCCGCATAGCTGCCCAGGTGGCCATGGGTGGCAGGCTCCCCCACTCATGCACACCAGATGGCATCCTTTTTCAAGTGGGCATATTCTAATAAGGTTTTTTTTATGAGGAGTTTTTGGGTTCATACAGCCGCCGCCCTTGCACTCTCGCTCCACTGACTCTCCACTCCTCTGCTCCACTGGCTGCATGCCTTACTGCCCCCTCACTTTAGCCACCACATGCAAAGTACAAACCACCTCCCCATGTGAGATCATTCACATAATTTTGTTCTTGGGCTTAGTCAGTCAAAGTAGGCCTATAGACAATAGCACTTTCTGTCACTTGGCATCAAAATATAAAACACTAAGGGGGTGATTTACTAACCTAAACACACACACACACACCAGGTGTGTGTGATTTTCACACAGCAAAACGTATTTATCAACCAAAAAGTCTCTAAAAGCATATTTCCACTAATGCCATATATGGAAAAATCATGCACATGATGCATATATAATGCTGCTTCACAGTTTAGACAAAAATGGTTAGCTCATGCATTTACATTCCTGCATTCATCAACGCAAGCAACACAACATAGAGCTAATTTACACCACATTACCTTGCAATTCATTGCAGGGCTTTGCACAACACACCTGCTGGGTGTGTACACACTACAAAGGTGTTTCGATTCCTCCCATAGATCATGCTGGGAGGGAACACACTACAGAGGTGTATACACGTTCGTGGTGTGTTTAAAAGGTTAGTAAATCAACCCCTAAATGTTGAATGTTGTATTGGCTCTCCAGGTTTGACTCTGGGGATGGAGCAGGACACTTGGATGATGATTTCGGAACAGGGTGAAAAGCTCTATAAAATGATGTGCAAGCATGGAAACCTAATTAAAGACCGAAAGAAGAAGCTGACCACATTCCCAAAATGTTTTCTTGGAAGGTACAGTGGACAGGTTTTATAGCATTTTTGTCAATGGATTATTATTGATACAGGATTTATATAGCGCCAACAGTTTGCGCAGCACTTTACAATATAGGGAAGACATTACAATCACAATACAAATCAAGACAAGATGTACAGAGTGGGGTAAGATATATGAAACGTACAGTAAAACTGATATCTGTGTCCATTTCCAGCATTCTTTTATACTGCAACTGTTTGAAAACTGTTTTTATTAATGACAATTTGTTAGATATATGTTTAGGTATCATTATACTGTATTTCAGCTAACCGCTAAATATTTAAAAGGGTAATAGGAAGGATACTGTTGCTTTAACACATGTCCTGTTCTGAATCACTGTAAACAAGTATTTTGTATTAGCCCATTTGCAACTAATGGGTGGTGCAAGTGTTGGCTATGTAAAAGTCTAGACTTTTACATAGCTGTTTTACTGCTTTTCACTGTCTAGTAATGGCAGGATCTTAGGTAAGGCACATAAACACCTGAATTCTGCACTACTTTCTTATAACCTAGCACAGGATGTATTTCACACACTAAAGCGTCAACTCTTAATCATAATTGCATAAACTACCACTTTCTATACTAAAAAATAACATTGGTCAAAAAGCACTATAGTTCCTTTTGAAGCAATGGTTAAGAACAGATCCCAACCAGTTATTGGACAATGAAGGAGCAGCAACGAACTGATAAAGTCATGCCTGTGTTCTTTATTCCTCTAATCATGTTACCTGTAAGCAATAGTCCTTATTGGCTTAGAGTGTTACCTTACCTCTATTATCAGGATGCTTTAGTAAGTTTTGTGCAAAAAAGCCTTTAATTATTTTTTTATTAATACCTAAAGCTGAACTCCAGACAAACAGCCCAGTACACACATAAAATACATTTAAGAGCCGTTTTACTTAAAGTGACATAAAACCCTGATTTTTTAACATAAACCAATACTGTAATGTGTGCCTTACTGTAATCCATGGTAGTTTCCCTTCTCTTTGCTGCTCTTCCTTTTAAATCCTCATGTCTTCTCATGCTTGGGGAGAACTTCCCTTTTCAGCTCAGGGCCTCTTCCTGTAGTGCTGGCTCAGGTTACAAGTCTATAGAATTGTATACACAGACACCGTGTATCCATTCCTGAGACAAGGCAGTCTGCTGCAAAACAGAAGTTCTGCCCAGCATGAGAACAGATACAGATTTAAAAGGAAGAGCAGCAAAGAGAAGGGAAACAACCATGGATTACAGTAAGACACACATTACAGTATTGTTTTATGTTAAACAATCTGAGGGTTTAATGTCACTTTAAGACAGGGATTTGTATTTTTCAGAGATTTACACAGCTCTTCCAAACATCACAGTCCTGTCTGGCAGGGAAGGTAACCATACCTATCAGTGTTGCAGTCTCAGTTACACTTAGGGAGGGAGGTCTTCTCTCCACCCGTACCTTGCATGAGAACTGCACACTAATAAGCTCATCTCTCTGTCACTGTGCTCTCACCTCCTATTAGCATACCCCTTGCACTGCAACACATTTAATTTGCTTCTTGTCCTGCCTCCTCCTCCCTCTCCATGAATTCTGCTGTACAGTAAACTAATAGCATAGAGTAGAGGCTAATACCAGGTCAAATTTAGATACTTAAACAGCTTGCATTAAAAAAAATAAAACATTTAAGGATGTATTAATGTTTACAGAGCTGCTTTTATTTCTGCCTTTTATATTTGCTCAGCTTTATATTTTATTTTTGTTCAGCTTTAAACAAAAAGTAATTAACCCGTAGCTCTCTCATGGCAGTGGTACAAGGTTTCAACATTCTCTGTCAGGCTATGCTTGGTAGAATAGCTTGATTTTGGAAAAATTACTCCCATAATTGACTTGTTTCTGGTATTTTGCAGTGAATTTGTGGAATGGTTACTTGAAATTGGAGAAATTCAAAGACCAGAAGAGGGCGTGAATCTTGGCCAAGCTTTACTGGAGAATGGAATAATTCATCATGGTAAATATTTATCACTAATGCTGGCCTTTTGTCTGTTATATCTAACAAAATAAAGTGGATGTAAAGTGATAAAAAATGGTAGGGTTTATATGAAAGAAGAGACTGTGTCTTTTCTACCATAAAAGCTTCTTGCTGCCATTCAGCATTTTTTTTCCCCTGTACACTGAGCCGCATATGTGCAGCTCAGTGCACAGGCCCGGCAGGTCAAGATGAAGATGTGAGCATGCACAGGAGTTATGATGCTGGGGCGTCTCTTGTACCTCCTGTCCAGAAATTCCTAGAGTGGAGACAGGGTAAGCAGGTGCTTGGAGAAGCACAGGTGCCTGTAGCTGGCTCAAACGCAGCAGGGTTAGAGGCAAGATGAAGGGTCAAACACAGTCAGGCAACACATGAACACAGGGATTAAGCCAGGAACAAAGTCATGAAGCAAGCCAATGTCAAGCACAGTCAGGCAGAGAAGGTACAAAGCAGCAATCAGGAAGCATATTAAGGATACAAAGCCAGAGTCAGAACCCACGGGATCGAGATGTTGCAGAGTCAAAACAAGCCAGGTCAAATCACATGAGAAGCACACAGGTTCGGTAACAGGAAGCAGAAGCTGATGACCACTTCCCTTGCTGAGGCTCAGATTTAAATAGGCAGTCCACGCCCAATTAATTAACCATGTAATCCGAGGCACCATTGTATTTGCCAAGGTAGATCTTCAACATGGATTTCTACATGCATTTCTGTGGACATAGGTACATGCTTGGCCATGTGCATGCACAGATCCTTGCACATTACTGTGTACATGATTTTCCTAAAACAACCGAAGATACAAAATCTGTAGGAAGATCGCAGCAAAGATGGAAGTGGGGGTGAGGGAGAAGTGCAGCACTGGAGGGCATAAGATTGGAAGGTAAGTCTGCTGTAATGTGCTGATATACTGTGCATATGACCCCAGCCCCCCCCCCCCACTTTTTCTGTTTAAAAAAAAATTTGTATTGTAATGCTTTCTTTCTGCTTTAAGCTTAAATCTGTTGCAAGCCAATACGAAAAGTAATAATGATGCATTATAATATTTAGCATTTCAGTCTATTTTAACTGACTGTATATCTAGAAATAAATTAATTCTGATTGGTTGCTCTGGGTTACCATGCTTTGCAATTCCCCATTACTCCTAACACTTCTTTCATAAATCATCCTAATGCTGACTTCTTGAAAAGGCCAAAATCTGTAGCGCAGTGATGATGTGCAAAGTGTGTTAACCTATCTCAACCAATCATATTTCAACTTAATTTTGTCAGATCACTTCGAGATGATTTTTGATCATCTTTTTTGCACAATTTTAGCATTATGGGTAAAAATATTGGGTTGTTGTTGTCTTTCCCTGTTAAATAAGTGTAACTGTAATATTACTGGTTTGTATTGTAATACGTCTCTTAAATTCAGGAATATATATGTAAGCCATGATGTTCAGTGGCCAGGGAGAACAGAAGGTGCCAGCATCTTATATGTCTACAGTCCATTGTGCTGAGGAACCCCAATTTCCTGCCTTGTATAAACTGCTGAGTTCAGCATTGCTGAAGATAAGCATTAGAGATGAAGTTCCCTACCACGGCAAATCATGAGGGATAAGATGCATGGTCCTGGAGAATTTATGTGCAGATTCACCAGAAAAACGTTTTAAACTATAATGCACTGCTTGTCCTTTAATCCATCACTGGCAGGCTTGGGGTCAGTAGGGGTCATGAAGTGTAGCATTCACTTGTTACTTAACATCCGCTCTTGGAGCTGCCTATTGTTCATAGCACACTGCTTTATTGTTTGGGAAAAAAGCTAAGTGCAAAAATAGTGTGCACCTAAACTACCATTTATGATCCCCATAGATAAAAATTAAAGCTAGGCATACAGCGGTTAGGACTATTAACCCTGAATAAAACTGCAGCACCCCTGCTGCTGGCCAATTTTACACGATTTTCTGCTCAACAGCAATTCTTGTAGTGAAACTTAAGCCTATGCTCTCTGTATCAAGTACATCTGGGCCTAGCCTTCTGTCACCTGGGCTTTTTTTTATTTTAGTAGTAAGATACCTGCCTGTACTTATTTTCTCTAGTACATTTCGGACAATTTTCCCTCATTAACGTTTACATTAGTTTACCTAATAGCCCTAAGAATGACCAGACAGATGCGACCATGCCTAATCAGCATGAGCAAGGGGACATATCCAGTGCATCGTCTTATAATTACATTCTTCTTTCATACTGTCCGAAACCATCAGAGTGTTAGGTTATCTGTTGGGTGATATAAGCGTGCTGTACATATAGTATCTATGCTTATATTTAAACCACAATTAAACATTTTGATGGTGCCTAGCTTTACCCATATTTTTTTGTTTTGTTTTTTTGATCATCAAGAGTTTAACAAAATATTTTTTACATCACAATTACAGTATGGGATGCATACAGCAATTTCCTAATGTTTTTATTTTATAAATAAAGTAATTGTATGTTGTGTAGCTTTATAACCGTACCTTTATTTAGACCGGGAATGGATTGTAATGGCAACGGCTTTATTTATTTTATATAAAACTTTCAAATATGTAAATATGGCTTAATATATTCAATTGTTTAGCACAGCTTTATTCTGCCTGAGTGATGTTTTCATGAACCTTATATACAGCTATCTTGTAATGAAATTGTTTTTCTGTAGCTTGATACGTTTACTGAAGTGGAGCTAATAGCACTTTTGATTTAACTCACAAATTGTAATTAATGCTGTTGTTTTCTGTGACCGTTTTTTTGAGCTGCTGTCTGTTCTTCATCCTAGAATGTCACCGAACAATCTTGCATGACAGAATAAAAATTAAACTGTTATTAATCTCTCCTTAGATCTCTGGGTCTTAGTTACTAAATACTAATTTGCCATGAATACCTGTTATGCTCAAGTATAGCTTTAGTTCAGCTTTTAAACATTGGGCAGAAAAGTGACACACAACAAGTACTGTTATCTAAAGGTATTTATTTGAAAATCTATCTTTCAAGTTAGCTCATGCATTAGTATGATAATGTTTACATGGCCATGACACTATAGGAGTAGACTACCTACTCCCGAGATCAAGTGACTGTTTTAACATGGCTTACTATATGACTTCCTGGGCCATCTGCTTGCTTACTAGACTATAAATTAGCGTAGTCATACTTCTAAGGTCTTCTCTGTTGAGTTATCCATCATTCTACAAACCTCTCTCCAGCTTCCAGTACCTAAAAACAAATCAAAATTACATTACCATGCAATGCAATGGAGCCCTGGTTGATTTAGAGAACATTACCTCTGACCCCTAGTTTAATTTTTGCTGCACAAAACAAGATAACAAGATAGATTTTATAGAGTTATAATAGTAGTATTTTAAAGTAGATTTGTTAAAATATACATAACTGGACATACTGGAGTTAAAATTGTCTGTTCCATTTTATTGCCCAGCTCCAGCCATATTTTTTGGATTGCGTGGGGATGAGTTAGGCTCCATTCATACATAACGGCAGCGTTTTCCGCACGGTTTATCGCACAGAAAACCAAGCGGAACGAAATCGTGCAAACGTTAACATACGCACAGGCTCCGCACTTTTGTGCCTATTACTATAGACGGAACGGGCAAAATCTGCCCATAAAATTGCGCTTGAATTATTTTGTAGGCCGAAACCAGGTGGCCACTGCAATAGTCTGAACAATGCACATTTCAATACATTGTATTTTATGTTTAGTGCAGTTCCGCGCGTATTTGTACTACTGTATACGTGCGGGAAACTGCTCATGTGTGAATTGAGCCTTAACATTTCTTTCATTTATTTATCTTTTCTGTCTGGGATCCCATTAGGGAGATTTTCCCTCACATCCTGTTCTATTGAGGCCTACATAAGAGGGTCCGCTCTTTTCACTGGGACAGGAAGTACATGACAACAATAAAATATTGTCAGAAGTTCTTACCTTTCTTCACTCTATTCAAACTTTGCTCTGCCTGTGTCCCAGTTGGAAAGACATCCATTCACTTCCTATTCTGACAAAAAGTAAGGGAAATCTCACCAATTGGGACACAGATGGCAATAAAGACCTACATTAGACTCTAGCCTTTCTCAACCAGGGCTGCTCTAGAGGCTGCTAGGGTTTCCTTGACCGATGAGCAATTTCTACCTTTCATATAAGTCTATATATTCTACCTCTCATATCAGAGGCACCAGTGGTCTGTCTATGTGCTAGGAAAGCACCGATACCAGTTTTCCAGTATCGAGTACGAGTACCGATATTTTTTTCGGTACTCACCGATATCGCATAATAATGATACCCGAAGTCCCATTAATGTAATGACTCACTGCCCGTCTTCCTGATTAGCCTGGAAGCCGGACAGCATTAAACGACTTGCTGCCTGGCTTCCTGATTGGCCAGAAAGCCGACTCCATGCTTCCTCATCACCTGGTGACGAGGAAGCATGGAGTTGGCTTCCTGGCCACTCAGGAAGCCGGGGGGAGAGTCATTACCCATCCCCCTGCTTTATGATTGGCCATGAAGCCAGCTCCATGCTCCCTGATGACGTGTAATGACTTGCCGTCTGGCTTCCTGATACCGGAGATTCCGGTATCGAGAGCATTTGCGGCGAGTACGAGTACTCGCCCAATTACTCGGTATTGGCGCCAATATCGATACTCGTATCAATATCTGTACATCCCTACTATATGCTATCTGAAAGGGTGCAACATTCTCACTTCCTACTGCCCACCAGTGTAAGGAACATTATTCTCAAAAACCAACAGTGTAATGGAGTCCATCTGCACTGCACACCAATCTAAGGGTGCCATTCTCTACTGACCACCAATGTAAGGAGCATTCTCCCCATTGACCACCAATCTAAGGGGGCCAGCCTCCACTGACCACCAATGTAACAGAGAACTTTAATGACCAACAATGTTATGGGGCACATTTTCACTGACCATCAATGTGAAGGAGCACTACAATTTTAATGGTCTGCATTTCTTTTCTGGCAATATTATTATTTGTTTAACTTCATAATTATTACCAAAAATGATTTTGTTGTATGAAGCAGCACTGGTTGCACACTTGAGAATGATGGTACCTTGCCATAAAAACTCTTTACAAACTATTTGTCCAGTAAATTAGAGGACAAATCATAAATTCTTTCTAAAAAATATGAAAAGCTTTCCACATATCTACATTGTCACTTACGATCCATCACAGGCTGCCAGCCTGTAAATGCTGATGTGTAATTGTTTTATAGATTCATTACTATAGATTTCCAGAACAGAATGATTAACTGAACTCATAAAGTAGAAGTAATTCCATGAAAGCCAGTGCATAGGCAAAACAGTAGTTTCATTAACGAGTGTCTGCAGCTGTCTTGTACCGAAAATAGAATTTGTGAAACACATCAACATAAACCATCTGTTGCTAGCCAAATACATTTTTGGTAGCATGACACAGTGGTAATAATATTCTGGATTCCCTCAGAGTGACACATGTTCAGTTTTTTTTTTTTTTACAATCCAGCTTTCAGTAAGTTATTAGCCTTAATGCAGAAGGACTTGTTGCTGTATAGACCTAAGCTACATGTTACCAACAGCTGGAAGGAAAGTGTCTGTTAGCATTTATTTGTTGCTGTAGGTCAGTATTTTGAGAGCAGTTTGGTTCTATTATGATTATTTTTTAACTGTTGACAATTCAAACAGAGCAAGGAGCATTGATAATAAGTAGATAACAACTAACTTACATCAACCAGTGGTTGTTTTGGGTTTCAGTACTTAAAAACTGGTTGTTTGTAGGGATGTGCAGATCCCAAGTACCGTACTGGGTACAAGTACAAGTACTGATACTTTTCCAGCTCCAAGGCTAGACTAGAGAAAAACTCAAAAGTTAGGAGGCAGCTGTCATTTGTAAGGAGCATTGGCTACAGGGCTCCTGTGATTTGTGCATTCCTGTGTTAATGTATGATTTGTTATACATACATACCGTATTTTGCGCTCCATAAGGCGCACCGGACCATAGGACGCAGGGAGGTCCGGTGCGCCTTATGGAGCACTGAACAGACCGGAGCTTCTGTGACAGAAGATGTGACAGAAGCTGCAGTTAGTGACCGCTGAGACAGGTGGTGCTGGTACAATACAACAGAAAGGCAACAGTGCATCAAATTACTGCAGATCTTAATCAGGGATCCTCTCAAATGATCTCTGAACGCACTGTGCGCCGTACAGAGGATCGTATGGGATATGGAAGCCGAAGGCCTGTTCCAACACCTTTGCTGTCTGCAGTTAACAAGATAAAACGTCTCCAATTCGCACAGGAACACAAGGATTGGACAGTCGAGCATTGGAAAAAAGTCATGTGGTCCGATGAATCACGTTTTCAGTTGCATCATGCAGATGACAGAGTGAGAATTTGGCGGGAACAGCTCATCCTATCATGTTGATGGCGTATCCCAGGGAGATGGCTTCTTCCAACAAGACAATGCGCCATGCCACGGTGCTTGTATTGTGCAGGAGTGGTTTCAAGAACATGAGGGAGACTTTACCTTGCTTAGGTAGCCCCCACAATCACCAGATCTCAATCCAAATGAGCATTTGTGGGACGAAGTTGAAAGAGCCATCAGGCAGCTGGCTCCACAACCATCAATTCTCACAGAACTGGACAGTGCTATTCATAAGGCATGGTGTCAGATTCCTCGCATCACCTTTCAACATCTCGTGGCCAAGAAGAATCGCCGCAGTATTGAAGGCAAAAGGTGGCCCAACGAAGTACTGATGGGGTGGTCATAATAATCTGGCCACTCAGTGTATGCCCGAATATAGATATAGAAATTACTATATATTCGGGCATATATTAATTAGTTGTATTGGCGCCGCCATCTTGGTGCATCTGATGTCACGTAGGAAGACATACCACCCGCTTGGGTGCACCAAGATGTCGGCGCCCATTGTTTCTATGAGCGCAAGTGGCGTATGGACGCACCAAAGATCAATACCGTCAGTTCGTAAATTTTTCGGTGTGCAGTTTCGGATTCGGAGGCCCATTGCCTCCGAATCCGAAACAGCATCATTTATTTTGTCCAAAACTTTATGCTGTACACATCTACTATATTGTCATAAAACCTTTATCATCTTACTTTTTTATGTATATGGAATCTTAAAACCGTCCCGTTTTTGCCATCCCAATGTCCTGTTTTTGGCTCAAGGAAAATGGTCAGCCTATTAAAGTGGAATTACAGGCAACCAAACAAAAAATTATGAGATCAGCTTTCCAAAACATCAAAAAATGCTTTTAACATAACCTGATTTGTTCTAGTACCTACTGGCTGGATTCACATGATCTAGGAGAGTTTACAACCTGCCCTTTAATGCGGACATAGGGGCAGAGCACTAGTTAAGTGGTGTAGTGTACCCTCATTGCACTACAAGTCCCAGTGTTGTTTGTGGCACTGGCATGTTGTGGTAGTTATGTTAATGTTTCTGTGTGGTTCAAGGAAAGGTTAGGAATCACAATAGGTACAGTAGCCTTACAAGGAGCCACTGCACACTGCTCACTGCTTCAGGAAAGTTCATATTACAGGAATCCCAGGGGCTGCAGGGACAGATCTGATTTGACTGTACTGTGGCCAAGTGTTCAAGAGTCTATAGAGATCCCCAAAACAGTAAGGGTGTATTTACAGGGTAAAAAAGGGTCAATTTTAATGTGTACCAACATGCGTCGCATTGTGTTTGCCCATTTCCTGTGGACCAGGAATCTGACCAATCATACAATTTCAAAACACCTAGAAACAAACCTGGTATTGCATATGCACAGGTGCAAATCCATCCATTGTAATTGTTATAGTAGGCAACTCCAAAGTGAAAAGGAGGCTGTTTCAGGCATAGGGAGGAAAATAGTAAATATGATCCACCACTTACTTAGCAAATGAGGTTCTACACAACTAAACCTGTTCTATATGTAAGCAGCTTGTAATGTAAACATATTGTACATCAAATGACAAATAAAAATGGCAAAGCAGTTGTTTTACCATATCTTTGCAAAGAATGTGCTAGTAACTTTAGTATAATATATCCTGTTCTCTACACAGAGAACATGTAGCCCCTACTGTGTATACCAGATCTGTTGTAAATGGAATAGCAGAAAGTAAGACCATTCACAAACAATAAACTGTAATAGGGTTTACATGTATCTCTGAATGGGACTGACATAAGTGCCCTATTAAATATTATACAGTAATACCTTGGTTTACAAGTAACTTGGTTTGAGAGCGTTTTGCAAGACAAGCAAACATTTCAGAAAAATGTTGCCTTGATATACAAGCAAATGTCTTGCAATAAGAGCAACATTTTGTAGAAAAGCACCACCGAATAAGGCTGTAGCAGTGCGAGCGAGGAGTCTGTTTAACGACAATGCAGTGTCACATTGGATAGATTCCTTGTTAAGGTTTCACGTAATGAAAAAGATTCCATTGAGTCAAGAGATAGCAGTGATTCCGTTAGTGATGGTGAAAGTTGTCCTACACAATAATCCTCCTCTCTCTTGTCCCCCTCACACCGGCCACAAAGGTATCTGTAATTGGTTTATTTTTCTTTATATTTTGTACAGTATTATATTACAGTACAGTATTGTAATCATTTTATATGAATATTTTTGGGTTGTGGAATGAATCATCTGAATTTCCATTATTTCCTATGGCGAAATTCGCTTTGATATACAAGCGCTTTGGATTACAAGCATGCTGCCGGAAACGAATTATGCTCGTAAACCAAGGTATTACTGTAATTGCGATTTCATTAATTATGTATGGATTTTTTTGTAAATAATATATTAAAGCTAATGAAGGTTGAAAGAAAGAAGGATCCTAGAGCAATATCTTAAGGGGACCCATGTAACTCAATTTCCTGTTCCAAGGACATTAATACTTCTGAATAGAACTCTGGTCATCAAGATCCACTGCTTGGGCTTGGTCTCTGTAATGCAGACAAACCACAGCACATAGTTATCAATTTTCACATGCTACATTTTTTTTTATCATGCACATCATACATAAAGAAAAGCATCACATTTTGCCTCTTTCACTAAAGAGATATCTGCTCCACTTTCATGTTTGCATTCCTGTTTTATCTGACTCTGAAACATGAGAACACAAAATACAGACCACTGTGTTTCCAGGTTCTTGTACCACCCTCTTTAATTGATAGAGGCAGAACTGATTTGCCTTCAATCCATTCCAAGTCTAAAGTTAGCTCTCTAAAAAAATACACCTGTATGGAGCCAATACACATTAAGTAATTTTTCTGCAAAGAGTTTCTATTAATATTGTTTAACAATTACTTCTTTAAAATTGTCTTACCAGTTCATTCTCAGGCTCATGAAAAAGCTACAATAAATACAAATGGGTTTTATTAAAACCTTTCTCAGGCCTATTTTCTTGTTCCTTATTCAGTTACAGATAAGCACCAGTTTAAATCGGAACAGATGTTATATCGGTTTCGTTATGACGATGGCACCTACTACCCAAGAAATGAAATGCAGGATGTAACATCAAAGGTAAATATTAGCAATAAGCATCAGACACTGCTCACATCTGCCTGTTGGATTGCTGATGGTTTAGAGAAATACTGTTATGTTCTTAATTTAATAAATGATTATTAATGTATTGCACATATTGATCAAGACTATCCATCTACCAAAATCTGCTTTGTAATGGAGAGAGCCTATTGTGAAGTGATTGAATCCACCACATGTGCAGAGTAAAGATGGGCAAACACGTTTAAGGCGGTTATTTACTAAAGAATCCAAGGATTTAGCCGAACCTTCATCTAAAGCTTCGGCTTCCAGCAGCTCACTCGCTGCCGTTCGCCCCTATTCTCATAGGGGCCGAACGCCAGTGAGTGAATAGCCGATTGCCGCCGAGCGGCATTTGGCTCGCTATTCTGCTCTGTACCTCTGAGGTATCCAGCAGAATAGAAAGTGAAAAGAATGTGAAAAAAAGCTGCAGAATTATTAAAAAAATTATACAAAATAGGAAAATGATTTTTTTAAAGTATATTTTAAAGAAAATAAAAAATCATTTGCATGGAGCTAGCAGTGACAGCTCTACACAACTATTTCCTATTGACCGGCACCTGCCAGAGTCTTCTAGCAGGTCCTGGCCAATAAATAACAACTTGGCAGAGTCGGCTGTGACGTCTCTACGCCTTTAATAACACAGCAGCTACTCATCCCCTATCAGACAGCTCTATTTAGAGTTTCAGTAGGAGAGTGTTTAAGGCAGTATTCTATATTGTGTTATCTGTTTAGATAACTATAGTGCTCTGGAAATCAATTGACATGTATTAAATGTTTATTTGTAGAAAGAAAAGAAAGAAAACAAAATACTGTATATATATCTATATCTATATCTATATATATCTATATAGATATTTCATATAAAATAAAATTGACCTATCAAGCAAACAGTGATGTCATTCCTAACCCCCTTTCCTAGTTTCCTGGTTGTCACGCTGTCATCTATGAGATTTACTAATTAGTGAGTTCCTAAACGTGAAGTATACAGGTTGGTATTTCCAATTTCACTAGCTGTAATATTTGTTCCTGCTCAGTGAATTTCTATGTAGTGATGGTAGAGGATCAGTATGACAGACAGACAACCAGCGTTTTCAGAACGGGTCAGAATTGATAGCATAGCTTCTTCTTTCCTGACAGGTTCCCTTTGAGCATTGCATCTCTTTGATGTGTATTATGGTGTATAAACTGCCATTGTTTTATTTATTTTAGGGTGTTAGACTATACTGCCGTCTTCATAGCCTGTTTACTCCAGTAATTAGGTATGTATTTCAGAACTCATCAGTGACTCACTGGGGACATACAGAAGTTTTTGCTTACCTTTTAGATGTTTTTTAATGTGTAGAGTTTTTTTAAGTGATAGTAGATAATTGAATTTTTGTTGTGGAATTTCTATTTCTAAGTCATATTTAAACAGGTCGGGAGCAGAAAAAAATAAATATACTTCTACATTGCAGTAGGATATTTTCCTATTTTCAACTTAAGCTGTGTGCTCAGTAAGCATCATGTAATGGACAGGGTGAGCAAAAATGCAGATTTGTGAGGATTATGGATACTGGGTAAAACACTACCCCAGCTCAGGGTGCAGTAAACTGGCAAAGGCTTTACGAATATATAAATTTTCTCCCTTATTTATCTTTACATGTTTTATTTGAGCCTAATACTTCCACTTTGTTTTCAGGGGTCAGAAGAAATCTGTTGCTGCGTTGTCACACGCTGTCTCCCAGCTATTGAGTGTGCATAACAGTGTCAAGTAACAGAAATAAGAATGCATACAGCTATAGTGTTTTACAGTCTGGAATTGCAAGTCAGTGTGTGAGGTCAGGCATTTGACAAGGCTGCACAATTGTATCCCAGTACATTGAGGCAAAGCAGCGCCAGTAGTGCTTATCTGTTGCACTATTGAAATTTGGGCTCCATCATTTGAATGGGCTGCCCTAAAGCAAGGCACCTTAATGTGCCAAAAAAATGCACGTTAACGCACATGCAGGAAATTCACTGCATTGTGCATGTCTGAATGTACCTTTACACTTCACCTTGAGTATCAGGGCATGAGGTAACAGTAAGGGGATGATTTACAAATCATCCGCTTCAACATACACTGAACAAATGCTATTTGCATGACATTGTCACTCCATCTAATGGCGAGAATACCATATGAACGGAATTCGGCAAGCGTATGTTGGGGTGGATGATTTATAAAGTAACCCTTAAGTGTCAGGCTCAGGTAAAAAATATAAAGCTAAATAAGTGAACAAATACAAATATTTTATAAGACTACACCAATAATTTAAGGGTCAGTATTAAGATTCTTGTACAGGCCCAGTTTGGACTGGTTCTCTTCCAACACAAATGTAATTGATTAATGTAGACAGCTTTTGACATTCTGTACCCCAGTTTGTTGATGTTTCGGTTTAGCAGCTAATATGTATTAAAAAAAGAAGAGAAAATCCCTCATGACTTCTGAACTGGGTCAAATACAAATGGGAGCTTAGTAAGGGAATTAGCAGGAGACTTGTACAGACAGCCTAATGTTCCCATAGGCATGCCATTGTGTGGAACAATTCTGATGAATTATAAAGAACACCAGCACAGTGCAGAAAATCGTCTTACTATTGCTTTACTGTGACTGTAAGCCTTAGATGATTTCTCACCTCATTATTCTATGTATAACTGATCATTATTCTTGACTTTGAGCCAAGGGCAGTATTTAATAAATGATGTCTAGGTATGTATTTAGAAATCCAGTAGCCTTGCTGATTAGATAGATTATGAAGATTATCAACAAGGATTTTAGTTTAAGCCTCATATACCGGTTACTGGCAGGATCACCAGGTGAAAATAAAGGGGGAAAAAAACCTTAAAAAAGAAAAGTAATGCAGCCAGCATATCTAAGAACTGGTAAACTGCAATATATTAAATTTTGTCTTCTTGGTTTTATATGCACTTTAACTATGGTAGCAACCAAGTAAGAGACCTACCTATCACACCACTTTGGGGCCTTGCTTACTATGATGTTTGGAGATGCTGTGTGATTTTCAGTGACACACAAAAAATTTGAAAAAAAAGCATTCAGTGCAGCAAGGGCTACACAATTAGGCAATACAGTCCTCTTATTAAAGGACGTATTCGTTTTGCCCTAAGGCAGAGAGACTGAGCTGCCTATGAGATACCCTTGAGAGAATGGAGTACACTTGTGAGGCTGCATAACTTGGATGAGCCAGTAGACGTGCCAGGAATGTAAGTATGTGAGAGATTAACAGTGTGTGCTCTTAGAGGAATAAATACCTCATGTTTCTTATGAGAAAGAATAAGATGTCTGTTGTGTTTTACACACAGCCATTAAGCAGTACAGATCTATTCTATTTTGCTAGCAGCAGTGTTCTCATGCCAAACATTATGTCAAGCCATGACTCGAGTGACTGAGCTTGTAAATGCAAGGTAATGTTGCTCTAAAGAGTGACCCAGCGTTTCTGTGAGAATATACGATTGTTCAGGTTATGGAACTAGCATAGATTAGCAATCCAGCATTCAAAATGTGTTTGTGAACTGCTGAGCTTCAGACGATAAATTGTGATTCCTCAGGCATTCTTGTAGTTCTAGGAAGTAGCCCACTCTGCAGTTTCCTCGGGATTGTTTTTTGTATCTGGTGGCTGTGGTCCACCACTTTGTAAAGTTTAATATAGATTTTTATATTTACCACATACTATCAAAAAAGAAAATACAACTGACATTATTTGAAGCAATATATATTTTTACTTTGCAGTGTGTGCACTTACATGACCTTATAATATATCCTCAACACTATTTTATTATAAATCTACAACTCTTTCTGTGAAGAGCACTTACTCTTTATGGGGTCCTTGTGGACTCCAGGGCTGTAACAGTCATTTACACGCTGAAGAGTTAAAACAAAAATGAGGACTTCTATGTAGCTGCTAATCCTGTTCAGTGCTCCATAACTGAGCAGGTCTAAATGACATCAAAACATATTTTGAAATGGATCAGTGATAGCTTTCCTTTCTGTTCCTTCATGTTATAATGACATGATAGTGGTGGTAATAGACATGGCATGGCTGCCTTTGACTCTTCTTGTGAATAGAAAAACACATTATTCTACAAAAATGCAAATGAACAAGAGTTCATTTGCATTTTAGGAGTCTTTCTGGCTGCAGAAACTGACATACATGTGTCAGAGGGTTTTATTTTAAAAGAAACCTCCTTTAGAAAAAAAAGTATGTGAATGCCATATCTTTCAAATCCATTCTTAGCAGCTTTGATTTTTTTAAATGACAAAAAATCTATTTCTTTGGTGGCTAAAAAAAATCTACATTAGTAGATTGACTCTGAGCCTCCTTTTTATTTCTCCATTAATAGAAATACATGTGTATATTCTGTAAGGCCTGGGTGGAGGCCTCCTTGAACAAAGAAACCCAGGTTCAAAAATGATGGCTTGTATAAGGTATGAGAGTCCCTTATACAAACCCTAGCTGTTGATAACTAACAGTTGATAGCAAAATGCGTTCACTATACTCAATGGTACCTAACTAGACTATTTATTCATGACCCTCCAATTGATGTTCCACCTTCAGCGACATTGGCGCATATTTACTTTGTAGTTTGAAGCCTTTTCCCTTTCCTGGGAAAATACATGGTGGACCGACCACCACCCTGCACTGGAATGTTTCTTCGTCCAATTGATGGGCCGGCTTCTAGATAACCAGATTGTCTATTTCGCTACTTATCGGAAAATATACTTGGAATTATTTTTTTTTTATGTTACGAATTACTGTAATTATATGTTGTTTTTATCAGCCAAATGTTGTGGCCTCTTTGCTGTCAAATGCACTCTCGCTTAATAAATATAAAAAAGTGCTAAAAAACATAGGTAATTTCTTATTGCAATATGGCACCCTAGCAGCATTCTTTACTTTTTTTTTCTTAAAATACAAGATATATGATTCTTTACTTTGTGTATAGACCTCCTCTGGAAATCTTTTTGTCTGCTTGTGTGATTGGCTCATTTCTTTTCCCAGAAGTCTGCACAAAGTGCAAAGTCAAATTATAGCTATCCTCTGTAAGAGTTTCATTTTTGGTGAGAATGTTTTTTAAAACGTTTCTTAACCAAAAGGGATCCAGATGGTACTCTTATTATATTACAACAGTGAGACTGCTCTGGTGCGGATAATGACAGCAGAGGTTCCCATTTAGTAGTCAGTTAGAATATGGTATGGTCTACATAAGTTACAGAACAGAAAGGTAATATAGTTTACTAGAATCCTTGCAATGTATGCAGTTTACTCAGAAAAGTAGTACATTTTTCATTCCAAAAAACTCGAGTTACACTTTAAAAATATTAATATAACAATTTTGTCATCAGGAATGTTTTTTTGTTGGATTGGGATCTTCCTAAAGCTTGGCAATGCTTGTGCTGTTACAAATAATTATAATTTGTGTAGCATTGGTAAATGTATCTTTAAAATATTAAATTAAACAAAGACATAACAATATGTAAAAATTAATTTCTCTCTTAGGGATAAAGACTACCATCTGCGAACATATAAATCAGTGGTTATGGCAAACAAGCTGATAGACTGGCTTATAGCTCAGGTAAGAAGTCTTTATATATGACTAAGACCGAAATGTAATAATACAAATCAAAGTGCAGGAAACTCAGAGACCAAACAAAATTTGATTGTAATTCCTGAGAATGCGGTTACTGTGGGTTACTGTGAATGTATTTCATTATTTTTCACTGTTATTGAATTTTTGCATTAATATTATTTTTTATAAAAAGCTAACAAATGAACTTTATGTTAAGTCAAAACCTTTTTAGTGTGGGAGGGTTAGACCCTTGATCGGGTTTTTATTGCTGCCTGCTACAGTATTTAGATCCACCCCTCTATTTGTCCTGGGGACCATTGTCACTGAGACAGAAAGTGATGGTAAATCCTACATTTTAGAGTTCTCATCAGAGCAAAAGGTGAGGGGACACATGTTTCCATGATAGATGTCTAAGTTCAGGTCGCTTTGGGGAGATTTCCTTTTGTTGTTGTGTCTTCAGGACAGGAAGTGAAGGGAAATCTCCCCAGCAGGACACAATCAACAACAAATAACCTAATAGGGGTTTTAGCCCTTCCCTACTCTATCCATGACTGTCACAAAGGGTGGACTTCAAACACCTCCACCTTTGTTAATCTCTATCACGTGGTGAATTGATGGGATTAGTAATTTACACAATAAAGATAAGGTTCTTTGTGCTTTTCAGGTCACAGGGAGTGACCGAAATCTTGCATTTATGGCAAGATTAACGTGATAATGAAGTCAAAAGGTTGTTTAACCATATTTTAAATGCTGATTAAATCACTTACAATGGATGCTGATCCTTCATGTTCAAAAGTTTTAGCTTCCCCGAGCACTGGCTCTAATATGCTGTTTTAGGGTGGCTCCTTTCTCCTGCAGGCTCCTATGGAACCACCCTTGTGTGTGCTAGTAAGATGTGTGTGTCTGTACAAACACACACAGGCACAGCAAAGCAAGAAACTCCCCTGCTCTCTGCTCCTCCTCCCTCCTCACTTCCATAAAGCTAGTATATGGACAGCTGCTGGAGACTGTTCTGTTCCTTGTGATCTTGTACTGAGCAGGAAGTTCAGGGAAGCCAAACTGAGAGAGTTGGAGCCAGCTGTTTGGAAACATGATGACTAAAAGTGCTTAGGAAAAATATGAAAGACATAGTTTGCTGGGCAATGTACAGTATATTTGTTTGATCTGGATTCATTATTGAAAAAAAGAGAGTTTAATACTAGTACTTGCTGAAAATTTTCACAGATGGTGTTCTTCCTTATTTTATAGAAAACACAAAAAAAGTTTTGGCTGAAGTGTCACCTACGTTTCCTATATTTGAGCGCAACTTTAGCTAATAAGCATTGCTCCACATGTCATAGAACTGTGATTACATGCATGCCTTTGTTTTACTTTATATAGTAATATTTGTCTCATAAGATTTGAGCTATGAATACTGTATACAGTTCATTCCAATATTTTTAGAGAGTTACACACTAAATATATCAGTTCTTTTATTTTGTATAAAATATTGCAGGGGGAATGCCGGACAAGAGAAGAAGCCATCATTCTTGGTGTGGCATTATGTGACAACGGATTCATGCATCATGGTATGGCAATGGATTTATCCTCTTGTATCTCAGTTGTACTGTGCTGTGTATCTCAGTTGTACTCAGTTGTACAAAATCTGGAGCAGCTGTGCATGGCAACCTATCAGCTTCTATCTTTCATTTTAAAATCTTAACTGAACAAACTGAAGAGAGAAGCTGATTGGTTACTATGGGGAACTGATCTAGATTTTGTCTGTTTCGGTAGATATTGGCCACCAATTTTTGTTCTCCATCATCAGTAGAAATATGGTCATCTTATTGTAATTACGTAATTATGTAATTACACATTGTCACAATATAATAACCCTTGCTAGGAACAGGAAAGAAGAAGAAAATGTTCTTTGTAAAACAGATTACCTTAAAAGAGGGGAAACACTTAGGACACCAATAGTCGTGCACACACAGACTACAGTGATTGAAATTCAGCCCTGTATGTTCTACTTTAGATGTTAATACATTTTCCTGTATGTCAGTAAATTTAGATATATTGGATCTGTGTGGCCTGAATTGAACTGTACAAGGCAATGCCATACATGTTGTAATTACAGCAGATTATATAGACTTTTATGTTGGTTCCGAGTCTCATCCAACATGGATGAACATTCTTCAGGAAAGGAGATCGACATCATAAATAGGGTAAGAGAGAACCTTGCAGTAAACATATGTAAATGCACATGTTTCATTGAAACACATGTATTTGAATGCTGTACATCCTGAGTAGCAGTGTGCATCTTAAGTGTACAGTTTCAAATATTTTAGTACTCATAGCTTTATTTTCATCTTGAAAATATGCCACTGCAGGTCCTTGTTTTGGGAGAACGTGAAGGCTGCATGAGATGAGAAACTCTAGGGTTCAGTGGTTGTGTCATTCAATGGGTGCCATTTACGACAACTAGCAAGAGAGCAGATTTTACATCAGACACTTTTAGAAGGATGGATCTAAAGCAGGGGAAATTCCCCTCTGTGTGCCTGTACTGAGCACACAGAGGGGAATTTCTCAAAGTGGAGCAGACAAAATCTGGAGCAGCTTTGCATGACAACCAATCAGCATCTCTCTTTCATTTTCAGATATTAACTGACCAAAATGAAGAGAGAAGCTGGTTACCATGCACAACTACTCCAGATTTCATCTGCTCCAGTCTTGATAAATCCCCCCCCCCCATTGTGTCCACCAACTACGTAAATACTGTACATCATTTTCAAATATTAACTGAACAGACTGAAGAGAGAAACTGATTGGTTACTATGGGGAACTGTTCCAGATTTTGTCTGCTTTGGTTTTGATAAATTCCCCCCAGAGTCTTTTGAAACGTTTGTGACACCTCTGGTTTAAATGCCTCTTATTCACCTCCTAACCAATCTTTGAAGCTAAACAACTGGTTGGGGCAGCTTTCATTCTATGTGGATGTTTATAAACATACCTGTTTGTACATAGACATCCCAGATCGCAGGCAAAATCCAAAGAGCCAATCAGTGTGTCGATTTAGTGGTTCTTGCTTTTAAATTAGGGCAAACTAGGCCGTACATTTCTATTTAAATAATGTTCTACACAATTGCTTTTTCACCTATATGTTACACAGTTCTATCGCTGTGGACACAGTGCTTTATTCCCTTTTTTTTATTCCCCTGATCTTCTTTTGTTCAGTATTGGAGAAGAGTGAGTTCAAGGATGAGCCTCTGTTGTTTCGATTCTTCTCTGATGAAGAAATGGAGGGTTCCAATATGAAGCACAGACTCATGAAACATGACCTAAAGATTGTTGAGAATGTTATTGCTAAATCTCTCTTGGTAAGTACTCACACTGCAAATCTGCATACATTCAGTGGCAGGACTTCTGCTTTATGGTGAACATTGCTGTAAGGGACATGTGCTCACATGAATAAACTATAGTTTCCCTTTAAAGCTATATACACACAGTGACTGGATGTGTGCATCTTCTACTGTGATATATGAAAATGTTGTCTGTCTCTGTTACAAGGAAAAACAATGATATATGTGGTTTTGCAGATAAAGCCCAGTGATGGAAGCTATGGCTTTGGACTGGAAGATAAAAATAAAGTACCTATAGTGAAATACATTGAACGAGGATCTAATGCAGAGGTAACATTGCGCTGTAATATTTTAGGTTTCTAAAGTGTTTTCCTTTTTTCTTGGTGAATATATTGTTTGTGTTTAGTACAACTCTTTTAAACTGACATCTGGTGTAGAGGCCAAGAAGCTAAAAACATCATGTAATACTGTATGTAATAACCAATATAATAGATATTGAATTTTTCATAATAAACCAGGAGGTTCATACTTAATGAGCCAAAAAAACAAACAATATTATTGTTGTGGGTAGATGTTGAACCACTCACCACTATCTTCTGTCACTAAACACTGGACTTTGTGGCTCCCCAATATCCTCCTCTGGTATGTGATGTGACTCATTCTGCATAGAAGGAGGAGATGTCACAATGTCCCCATTGTGCTCTCTACAGTGTAAATAAGTTAAATATCCTATATAAAGCACAAGGCCAGCTGCGAATAGCTCTAACAGATGCATAAAACATAAATCTTGCTGCTGGAGTCAATAGCAGATATACAAAATCGGTGAGTAATTCAGCACCCCAACAGCCACCCAAAACTTATTGTAAGCCCCCCTTCCTCCCTCTTGACTTGTATCACTGCTGGTGTTTGATGATAGTCCCAGAGCTGTCTTATGGAGCGACTTGGAGTTTAAAATTGGCTTCTTCCCCCACTCCCAGTGGCTGAATGGAGAGGTGGATTATTGAAACAAAAGTGAGCATGTGCTGCTAGGGAGGTAGGCATTAAACCAAATATGTTACATTGTCCTGGATGGTGAACTGGCTAGGTTGTTTAGGTAGGTCCTCGCCCTACATGTATAGTTTTGGTTACTCTTAAGTAGATTCTACACTCAGCGTAAAAAATGTGTGTTATCAGCTACACTCCGGTCAGATGTGTATTTACAGCCCATGTTGTCCTAGACATACATGAATAATATAACTTTTTTTAAACAAGTTCCACCTTTTTTTCTAATTATTAGAAAATGTTGAACCAGAAGTCTTCTTTGCATGCTGACCTACTGGACTGTATGTTTTATTAATTAATAGAATGCCGAGAGAGAATATAAGGCTGCTTGCCTTTTGAGGTACCTGTGACTTCTATTGCCAAACCCAACAAACTTATTATAATTGATTTTGTATTAAAAACAATTAGCCCCCAATGGAGGGGGTACCCACAAACATTTTTCAGATGATGGCATACCTGGTTAGCCTCACCAGACTTGGCACCCCCCCCCCCTCTCTAATCCTGCAGCAGTTGTTACAATAGATGTCCAAGTGGTAACAAAGGTTTACGTTTGACCCCCACCATCTATGGGTTTGGAATTCTCCCTTCACTAGCTGTTACTGCCACACAGTTGGCCGATAAGTAGCAGGCCCTTCAAACTATTGGTGTGCTGTGCTTTACTATCCTGATTCTGATCTCCTATGCCGCTTGATAATATAACTTCATAGCTTCTCTCAGGCTACTTAAGGTCATTTTTAATATGGTGCTTATTGTTGGTGTTGCTTACCCTTGTATGTTAATCACCTGTTGTGTCAATGGAATATGTATGTAACTCGCCCCATTTTTATTATGTTGAAGGACCGTGTCTGTTTGTGGTTTCTGTCTTTGTGTGCTGTTTTTAAACCTAAAATAATCTTCCAATAAAAATCTACTTGGTTTAAAAAAAAAAAAACAATTAGCCAATTATCATTGTCACTGGTGAAAAGCATCAGACAAAAACTACGTGGTCATGTTTTGCAGTTGTAGAGTACCTCTTTAATTGCAGTCAGTTATAGACTAGCTTCAGTCGTTTGGGTGAGGAACTGTGTTTAGTAAACCAAAACTGTCTGCCATACATAATGGAATTTCCATCTCAAAATAATTTACATTCTCTGAACATGTAAACTACTCAGAAATGAATTTTGCCTATTCTGTAAATTGCTTATATTTTCCCCGTTCAGCAGAAGCCGGCTATATTTCATCTTATCCAGCTCATCAGTTAAAATGTATTGCTCTGTTCAATAAGAGAAAAATATTGAAGTGTAACAGCAATTATCTTGCTTAATGTAGCAGGAATTTACATCTGCAGTATTTTGTTGTTGTAACACATTGAACCCTTTTCATTCTTTGTGAAGAGATTTGCTCCAGTAAGAGAATTGTTTCTGTCCTCTTTGCTTCCAGTTGTCAGGAATGGCAATCGGGAAAAAAATCTACGCTGTGAACGGTGACCTTGTTTTCCTGAGGCCCTTCCATGAAGTCGATTGTTTTCTGAGGACTTGCTTGAACAGCAGAAAACCTCTGAGAGTTCTCATGAGCACAAAACCCAGAGAGTAAGTCACCTCTTGTCATTTCTATATTAAGATACAGACCAGACACACCCTGGAGTTCCTTTAAATGATTGCTTTAATGTAACTATGGAAAACGGCAAATTAAAGTGATATTAAAGTCAAATGCTGGTTATATCACTTCCAATGGATGCTGCTCCATGTTGGTTAAAAGTTTTAGTTTTTCTGCAGAATCAGCTGGTCTCCTGAACATTGTCCCTGATATCCGGTTTTAGGGTGGCTTCTTATCCTTGCAGGATCTATAGAGCCACCCTTGTGTGTGCTAGTAAGCTGTGTGTGTCTCCACAAACACTGGCATAGTAAGGCAAACCTGCTCCCCCCTCCTCCCCACTCCTCCCGTCTCCAAGCTAGTAGATGGACAGCTGCTGGAGACTGTGCTCTCCTTTTTGAATGTTTTGCTGGACAGGAAGTTCAGGGAAGCTGAGCTGAGAGAGTTGGAGCTGTTTGGAAACCCGATGACTGTAAGTGATTGGGCAAAAATGTAAAGAAATACTTTCTTGGGCAATGTATATTTCTTTGATCTGGATGTATTATTGAAAAACAAAATGTGTGTTTAATACCGGTATTAGTTTAACCTGTTTGTTACTGAGCATGATCAGCCATTCCGCTGCAGAGGAATCAGAAAGTCCCAGCAGAAAGACTATTTATGGCCACCATACACCTTTTTTTTGTGAATTACCATAATAATGTTTTTATGCTGAGTTATAAGAAAAACAAAACCTTTAATCGAATAATAAAAAATGTAATTAAAAAAACCCAAATGGGGTAAAGGTTTCATTGTTTATTAGCTTTTAAAGTTGCAAACTTTAGGGCTACCATACTATTCCCTGGTTTACTATTTAGTCACTGGCCTGGAATAGTATGACATTTAAAAAAATGCTGACTAACTACTTACTCGTTCCAGGTTAGTGATGTAATAGGTAGTAGAACTGCTGGAATTCCTTATTTCTATAGTTTGTTCACGGTCACAAACTCAAAATGCACTGAACCTAAAGCTAAAGCTAAATTTTCAAAGCGAGAGTTTATTGTATACACTGCCTGTGGAGCATGTGCAGTGCAGTGTACAGTCATGGCATCTGTAAGATGCCCGATAATGGAGCCAGGTGCCAGGATAATGTAACTCCTGCCTGCATGGCCTGGAGCGACATAATCAATGTCCACTCAGTGGCCAAAGTAAGAACACTACGGGTTGATAGAAGTGATAGAAGTAGGGAGGGCAAACTTGGAGATGCCTGTCATAATGTGAACGTATCCTGCACATACATGCACAGAATGACAAGAGTTTACTCCTCGCCCATCTCAGCTGGCAGTTTAGAGTGCATTTCTGGAAGATCATCAGGTATTTTTCTGTACTTGCAGGGTCTTTAAAGAGAAAAAACACAGGGAACGTGTATCACAGAGATGTACTGCATATGTTTTGTTTTTTATTTACATTGACATACACTTTAAGATTATGGGCAGAGCTTGACAGAATTGGGTTAAACAGTTGGAATTTGAGATACAATTACTTATACATCATGACAAACATGCATTTCTTGAAAATCCCTGGGAGTGCCGTTATGCCATTGGGACTGGAGCAGATATACAGTATCTCTTGCTCACTTTAAATATTATGTTGTCTCTACCTCATTCTTTTGGGTTCTACAACAGTCACACAAGCTGTCATGATTATTGCAGTCCCCTGGCAAACGTTACTGAAAAGTCTGCTTGCCTTATTTCAAACCCAGAGAACTTTGGAATTACAGTGCTTGGGTTCAACAGATCAAGTGGCAGGCAATTTACTGAGATTGTGTATTTGTTTAAAATAACACATTTGATTTCTAAGAGTTTATTGGCGAGGGAACAATGCTATAGTGTGGAATATGCCTAATTACTTTGTTTGGTTTTTAGTCTAAGCAATAGTAAAGCTGTTATAAGGAAGGTCAGATGCTGCTTCCCACAGTGAATCATAATTGGATGCAGTGTTTCCATGCTTCAGGGACTGGTGTTGTGCAGATGGAAGTCTAATGCTAAAAAATGAAACAGCTATATTATCAATATACAGTGGGCAGCAGTGTGTGAGTTGTACACTTGTTTTCTTAATATGAAAACAGCTGTTTATATCAAAATAAGTTTTTTTTTTTTTGCATTTAGCATGTTCATTGGATGCAAAACCATATCTTGGTGGAAAAAATGTCCCAGTCATGCATTAAAGTAAGCAATAAATACCCAGTACTCAGATTTAATAGGTGGGATTGTGGCCTGATGGTGCCAGTGGTGGATATGTTAGATTAGTGCTTCTGAGCTAATTCCTCCAAACACAGGAACACCAATTCCAAGAGGGGTTGCCAAAGATTCTAAACACTTACCAATGAAGTGCATGATAGGCCAGTATTTGTGCAAAACATCAACTCCATCACTGGGATCAGGTGTGCAGTCTAGAACAATAGCAGAATCTCCTCTGCCAAATGAACCCCTGCATGGCAAGTTCCCCATGGCACCTCTGAGACCTCCCCAACAAAGAGTATGAGGGACCATATCAGTAGAGTAGAAGACAATATCAGATATCATATGAGGACACTCCTGATAAAAATATTAAATAATTCAATTTGGTGTTATAGTCAGTGACCAACTATTATCTCTGATGCTGTAGAAACTGCGGTTATGGCATTACAAAAGAAATCGGAAAGGCAGGGTGCCAAAATGGATGCTATCAAAATGAACATGGGTAATGCTGCAAATTAATGCCGTCAACTGCAAGATAATTGCACTCACAGAATAAATAAACCATCATTGCAACAGAAGGCCAAAAACTAGTTTATGGGTTAAAACTGCAACTCTATTAAGATTAAAATAGCAAACTTTTGCTGTAAGCTTTAAACCAAAGTGAACTTTCAGTTTACTTCAGGTAAATACATTCTAGGAGCATCAAAGCAAAAGGTGTACAAATTCTTAGCCCTGGTTTACACCGAGGCGTTTTTGAGCAGTTTGAAAAGCGCTTTTAACTGCCCAACACAAGAAATCCCATGATTTTCAATGGCCCTGGTTCACACCTGAGCAGAAAAACGCCAGCCGGAAAACACCAGACGCCTGAAAAGATACAGGAGCTTCTTTGGGCAGTTAAAGTCACTTTTCCTCCCCATAGACTTAATTGTAAATGCCCAAAAAGCGCAACAGAAGCATGTTGTACATTTCCGTGAGCGTTTTTGCGCGCTTATACGCGCGTTCTTCCATTGCCCACAATGGTTGATGAGCTGCCAATCAAAATGCGCGTCTTCCTGTTAAAACGCACATACCAATGTGCACAACGTGGAAATATGCTAAAGTGCATACAAACGCGCAAAAACGATGCCACGTAGGTGTGAACCAGAGCTTAAAGCTGGTTTTCTTTAGCCTTAATAAAATGAACTGTCCCCTGCCAGCATACAGTAGAGAAGGACCAATACTCTCTATGTGGAAGCAGTAGACTCTCTGCAGAGTTCGGACGCACCCCCTGCTGAGTCAGACCTACAAATCTCCAGTAAGCTGAGAGCATGAGATTTCCTCATTAAAAAGCTATAGTCAGCAGGAGCATGTCAAAATACTGCAGAGAGACCGCTGCTTCCACACACAGAGCAAGGGTACCAACATGGAGATAAACCTGCAAATGAGGGCACATTGCCCCTTCCTTCAGAAATGTACTGTGACCCATAACCAGGTTCTCCCAGGACAGTTGCAGAATTATTTTGGGTACATCCGATGCATATTGTTCCTAGAGCCATATAATAAACACTGTCATTGCTTAGTCCAATTTTTCGCACACAGTCATCAAGTATTCCATCATTATTACTTAGGTACAGTGGTCAACTGTTGGTTCAGTTTAACGTTCAGGACTTGTGTGCTCAAGAAGGAACATGGTGATTGCACAGTGGTCCAAGAGCCAGTTTAAAGTTTTTAATACTGACAGCTGTGCTTTAAATTGTTTGAAAATATTTTAACATGATTTATGAACAAGAACAGTCAGATTTTGGTTTTAAACAATTTAATCACACAAATTGAACCTGTTTTGCGACTGGTTGCTATAAATTATTGCACATCATTGTTTTTATGTGTTATAAGACCTTTCTTGGCAGGATAATTCGTAGTTCAGACAAGGATGCTGTATACTGAGAACATTTTATGAATACACCTTTGTACATGGGCTCTAGGGGAATTGTTCATGCTTTTAGTATATTTTAGAGTGTAATAAAGTTTTGCTTTAATTAACAAAATTTGTGGGTGGATATGACATTGTATTGGGTCTACATAATGAGTTACTAAATTCTGCACAGCGAGCAACCTTCAGTGCTATGCTTATTGTCATAAAACCTTCAACCAGACATTCTGGGTAGAGTGTTAGTGGGGGTGGGTGAATATATGACTTCCCTATCTATTCCCACGATCTACCTTAAAGTGACACTAAACTTAGGAGTTAAATCTTAAAAATATATTCAAGTACCTGAACTATTAACAAAAATGTATCTTACATATGTATCACTCAGCTGTGGATCCTCAAATCATCTCTGAATTGGTGCGGACACTGTCCTTTCTTCTGGAGGGAGGCCAACTTTTTTCTACATGGTCCCTGTGTGCAGGGCCGGATTTACTCCCCCTGGCGCCCCAAGGCCAGGTTCCACAATACGCCCCCCCCCCCGCGCCGCCA